GCACGGGGCAGTGTAGGAATGGGAGTGCAGAAGAAGGCAGATGACCAGGGGACGTGTACACTGGGCAGAGTGTGCCTAAGGGTGGCGGGGGGAGAAACACAACGGGACACTGTGTCTCAAGATTCTAAATTCAACTCTGGTTTAAGGGGCTTTCAGACACTCACTAGCTAGTGTCTGAAGCTAGTTCTTTGCTCAGACTTTCAAACAGAAAGTTGCTTTGTGACCTGGTAACTTTTGGCCCCGGGTAGAGTAGGGGAAATGTAGTCAAGAGTCCTGAGGGGAAGGAAGTTCCCTATATAGACGTTCAGCATCTGAAGAGCTGAACAAAGGCTGAGGAGCTGACGGGGGAGGGATGGGACGCCAGACCACTCCTCTAATTCCTTAGTCCTTTTTTTTTATAATAATAGTTTTATTAGAACATAATTTATGTACCATACAGTCCACCCACTTAAAGTATACAGTTTTAGTCTGTTTACAGTTGTACAATGACTACAATTAATTTTAGAACATTTTCACCTCAGTCACTCCCTCCCCGCATCCAACATCCCCCTCCCAGCCCTACTCTGGTAATTTTGTATAAATAAAAATTATATACTATGTCATCTCTTTAGATTGGCTTCTTTCACTTAGCATGTTTTCAAGGTTCATCCATGCTGTAGTATGTATCAGACCTTCATTACTTTTTATACTGAATACTATGCCACTATATGAATAGACTGCATTTTTTTATGTATCTGCTCATCCGTGGATGGATGTTTGGATTATTTCCACTGTTTGGCTGTTGTGAATACTGACTGATGAACATCCATGTACAGGCCTTTGGGTGGACGCACATGTTTATTTCTCATGGGTATATACCAAGGAGTGGAACTCCTGGGTCACGTGGTTGTACTTCCTTCCTTCTTTGCACACACTTCCATTTTAGGACTTGGTAAACTCACCACAAGTACTCACAGGCCTCCGTGCCCTGCCACACCACGTGCTTTTTTCATTGCACACACCCCGCAGAACCTAGTGTCTAGGAAGCACTAAACAAATACGTGGGGGGCCCTCCACGGTGTCAGATGATGCTGACAGGCAAAGTAAGATAAGGTCTGAGGAGTGACCATTGGATGTTAGGATGAGGGGGTCATCACTAAGCTTGGCAAGTAGTAGGGGGTGAAAGCCTGACCAAAGAGTGTCCAAAAGAGAATGGGGATGCAGAGAGGGTATAGCTTAAGTGATGGGGAGCATGCTTAGCATGCATGAGGTCCTGGGTTCAATCCCCAGCACCTCCTCCAAAAATAAATAAATAGGTAAACCTAATTACCCCCCCAAAATTAAAGTTAAAAAAATTAAAAAAAGAAAAAGAATGGGGAGAGGGAATCAGGAAAAGGAAGTACAGATCATTCTTCTGAGGGACCTTTTATAAAATATAGCAGAAAAATGAGATAAGAGCTGGGTGCAAAAGTGCAAAGAAGAGTATTTTGGGTTTTGCTACAATGAGGTATCACCTCACACTAATCAGAATGTCCATCATTAAAAAGTCCACAAACAATAAATGCTGGAGAGGGTACAGAGAAAAGGGAACCCTCCTACACTGCTGGTGGGAATATAGTTTGGTGTAGCCACTATGGAAAACAGTATGGAGATTCCCTAAAAAACTAAAAATAGACTTACCCTATGATCCAGCAATACCACTCTTGGGCATATATCTGGAGGGAACTCTAATTTGAAGACACCTGCACCCCAATGTTCATAGCAGCACTGTTTATAATAGCCAAGACATAGAAACAAACTAAATGTCTATCAATAGATGACTGGATAAAGAAGTTGTGATATATTTATACAATGGAATACTACTCAGCCATGAAAAAGACAATATCATTTACAGCAACATTGATGGACCTGGAGATCATCATACTAAGTGAAGTAAGCCAGACAGAGGAAGAAAAATACAATATGTTATTACTCATATGTGGACTCTAAAAAAAAAGACACTAATGAGCTCAATTACAAAACAGATACAGAGTCACAGACATAGAAAACAATCTTATGGTTACCAGAGAAAGGGAGTGGGAAAGGATAAATTTGGGAGTCTGAGATCTTTAAATGATAACCATTATACATAAAAATAGATTTAAAAAACAAATTTCTTCTGTATAACACAGGGCACTATATTTAATATCTTACAATAATCTTTAATGAAAAAGAATATATGTATGTCTATGTATGACTGAAACATTATGCTGTACACTGGAAATTGACACGACATTGTAAACTGACTATATACTTCATGGTTTTTGAAGCTATGAGAAATAGCATGTTTGCATAATGCTGTAGAAAGGTAAAAGCTGATGGGGAGAGAGGTGGGCAAAGACAAAAGTGAGGTCCTTAAGCAGATGAGGGGCGATGTGATCCTGTGAATAAGCAGTGTGAACGCTTCATCCCCTAAAATTCGTATGTTGAAACCCTAACCCCCCATGTGACTATGGAGATAAGGCCTGCGAGGAGGTTCAATGAGGCCATAAAGGTGGGGACCCAATCCAGTAGAGCTGGTGTCCGGATAAGAGGAAGAGACACCTGCCACGCAAGGACACAGCCAGCCAGAAGAGCCCTCACTGGGAACCACACTGGCGGCACCTTGATCTTCCTAACCAGTAGCATGGGGAGAAATAAATTTCTGCTTTTAAGCCACCCAGTCTATGGTATTATGCTATAGCAGACTAAGGCAAGAGGAGTAAGTGGTTTGGGAGGAAGGAGCAAGGAGAGTCCAGCCACAGTAATGGGGAGAGCGAAGCCCGTGGGTGCCCATGCAGCTGGGGTGGAGGTGTGCGGGGCAAGGGCTCTCTTCAGTGCTTTTGTTTTTTCCCAGTGATGTGGGGAGCCAGGTGAGCGGCTCAGAGTGAGGACACAGGGTTGCAGATTTAAGAAGAGCCATGAGGAGGCTGTGAACGGACCAGGGCCCTGCAATGAGGACACCTGAGAAACACCGTGATTCCATTTGAGGTTTGCGGTTGTTGAAGTGAAACTGATCAGCCTGGTGGTGTGTTTCTCCGGGATGTTCAGCAGTTTGGATGCAGGGAGTGAACTGGTAGGGGTGACTGTAACCGTGGCTGAGGTTTGGCCAAGTGAGAGGATAGAGAGTGAGGATAGAGGAGTGATTACACCGATGAGCTCCCACTGGAGGCCCCAGGCTGTGAGGCAGACGAGGAATCAAAGCAGCCGAGGGCCAGGGAAGAGGCAGGATGGCTGGCGTGCAGGTCCTGGTAGGGTGGCAGGAGTTTGGGAATCGGGGCCCTCAAGGCTGTGGTGTGGAAGACTGTGAGCAGAGAGGGAATGCTTGTAACTGAGACAGTGAGGGGCTGCGGGTATTGGTGAGGAAAAGGTCAGAGCCGGGCCAGGGCATGGATGGGAAAGGGAGGAGATGAGATCCCTGGGGGAGACCATGCCAGGGTATTCGATTTGTAGGTTTTGAAAACACTCAGATTCTGAAAGGAGCGGTGCTAAGAGACGTGATTTCCACCTCGTGCTAGAAGCTTCACGGCAAGAGACACACAACAATGAGAGTGCGGAAAACGGCTATCAGGTGGTGGCAATCTGCTGTTGGAAGGAGCAGTGCTCTGGAAGCAGAGAAGAGCCGGGAGGACGCCACCCCCCCCCCAAATCGCCCCATCTAGGCCCAGTGCACAAGGTGCACAGAGGAGGAGCTTCCCCTTGAGGGCTGCGGGAGGCAGTGTCCTCAGGGAGCGCCAGAAAGCGGACCTTCGACCTTCGTAGAAGAGGATGCTGGAAATTTTACTCTTGTTGGATGGGGTCCAAGAGGGCCAGGCAGAACATACGCGGACCAAAGTCTGGAAGATAAACGCTGCTCTGGGAGTCCTGGGCTCCCTCTAGGGCCTGGAATAAAGGGTTTGCTAAGATTTGTCGAAGACACGCCGATGGGAAGCTAAGCCGCCTGGAGGTGGGGGAGAAGCTGGATCTTCCCAGTTCTCAGGGCTCCGGGCCAGCCTCCCTCTTCCCGATGGCTGTGGGGAGCCTGGATGGAGCTGTCCTACCACCGCTGTGCACACATCCACCTGGGAGGCAAGGAAAACATCTCCTCTTTCAGGCCGAAGACTCACTCGACAGGAATTCCACAGAGGGCTCCGGCTCTGGGATCTCGGGTTTACACAATGGCTGCTCTGGGTATAGCCGGGGCAATTCACCTCTTTCTCCAGGAGAGGCCGCTGTTCTGCGCTTGCGCATGACCTTACAGTTTTTACAGCGTTCCCTGCTGTTTACCCGCCAATGTGACGGCTCACCAACATGATAAACTAAGTGGGTTAAGAGATCTTAATGAGACAAGCCTCCCTGTGCCATCCAGTTTATACACCTGCACTTGGATGGTGGTGATGTGGTCTTTTCAAAAGAAACAAAAGAACCCTCCTGTTCTTGCCTCCTGTCAACAGCCATGGATCCAATCTCCCTCACTAACTACTGATCCTGCAATGAATTCTTTCTCCTCTAAAACAAAAGAGAAATCAAGAATAGATTTCAGTACAAAGCCGTCACCTCCTTCTATTTTATTTTTCCAAATTATGAAAAAAGAGCTAAGCTACTTAGTCACTTATGTACATACTTACATTTATTTACAAAGATTTAGGTCTCTCCAAACACAATATACAATAAAAAAAAAAAAACTGAGAGACAAGACAGCATCCAGTCACAGTCAGTGTTGATGGTAGAGTAGAAATGAATGCTTAGCATTTGTTAGTTGTCATTTCTTCTGTACAACATTGCTTCTTATGAAGGATCTATTCAAGTGAGGCTTCCACGGTTTCCTGAAGGATAACGTAATACTTGAATGGTAAATCAGAGCCCTTCTCAAAGTTATTACAATAACTTAGTTCCCAGCCACTTGATTTTGTCTTCTGTTACCAAAGAACCAATGCTATGAAATAAATGTCTCAGATTAGTATAAAGTGAGGTCAATCTCGGTTGCAGTCTGAGTCTTAATTACCCTCCCATTCTTATGTGGGTAGCCTTTTGTGATACACACATCAAAAGCAAGGGTGCTAGGGAGCAGAGAGGGAGGGAGACTGTTCTTGGGCACTCGTGGGCTGGCAGCTGGAGTTCCACCAGAAGCGCTGTCTTCAGTGCACAGCACTAATTATTAGTCCCATCTCCTCACACCAAGGCAGCCTTTGAGTGTAACTGAAATTTCCAAATAACAGAGCTGAGTCTGTAAGACCCGTATGTAAACTGTCACCCCTTCTAAGAGTTATTTCCTTCTTTGCCACATGAATCTCCTTGGGGATGGTTTTCTTCCCACCTCAGTTTCTCTTCCTGTTTAGTCACCTCTTTGGTGATGACAGAACACTCTTGGGAAGCTCAGAGGAAATCAGTCCAAACACCAAGTTACAGCCTTGCCTGAGCAAGTCCCTTCAAACTGAGATTCCATTTCGTGGCTTTTTGTCTTCCCCACTGCCTGTATTTCCACAGACCAGACCAGATCAGAGTTCCCAAACTACCTGCATTCCTTTGGTAAAAGGAGTTTATGAAAAATCAGCGCTGGAGTCACAGAGGTGAGGTAAAGGAAAGCAAATAGGAGTTTTCCTTCTTAAGAACCTCGTACAACATGAAAAGGGGAGCTGTGGACTGTTGAGGGGGATAAAGTGGGCAGCGCTGCTCCAATGCTCCGGCAGGCACAGTTCTCTGCAGGGAAGCCCCTCCTGGGGATTTGCACCCCCTTCCCCCCCACCCCCTCCCCAGGGGTCCTCTCACCCACTCCCACAGCCAGGTTCATCCACTGCCAAAGAATCAGGTCTGCATCTCAGCTCTCCTTCGGGCTGAGAACACTTGCAAATCTTTCTTCCCAGAGAAATGGGGGACTCTGCTCCCTTTTTCATTCGATTGATCTGCTTCCCAGACATTTGCATGAAACAGGATAATGACCAGCTCTCCAGGAAGCTCTCTAAACTGAACTGTCTTGGTGAGAAGTGTAATAGCATGTCCGTCTTCCCTCAGATATCTGTTCTCTGCTTGGTTGTCCTCAGATATTTTTAACTGGGCTTAAGTTCTTCCTGATACTGTCCTCATGGAGATGTGACAATTTTGCATCTCTTCCTGGTTATGCTTGTCCCCTCCCCAACTCCTTCCCCAATCCCTGCCCCTCCATCATATCTATAACTCTTTAACAGTTGAGTTTAGGGAGCCCCCCGCTGCAGCCACAGTGGGCTCTTTAAATCTAAAAGGTATCTGAGAAAACGTGAATTCTGCAATCAAGGAGGAGTTGACTTCATATGAAAGTTCAGCTGTTTCTACATAGGCCAATCTGCAGTGTCGAACTATTATAGAAATACGAGTGAGCCCCTACTCGAGATTTGCTGAAGAAAATGCAATGTATAAAATATCAATTATTTGTTTTTCCATGAAAATGTGTTCTGTTAAGAAAACACACACACAAAGGAAGCACACAAAGTATAAAATCTGAGTAACAAAAATACACTGAGAAAAGTAAGCACACAGAGCCCCACGCTATGTAGGTTTCTCCCCAGGATGTTACCTTAAGATGTTAGTTTTATCTTCCTAGACTCATCATCCCAGAACCATGTTTTTCATGCAAATCTCTCCTGCTCCAGAACCTACAATGGCTCCCTATTCCAATATCACCCCATTTTAATGCCTCTGACTTCCAAAGATCTTCTTGCAAATGTTGTCTCTTTTGCCAGTTCTTCAATCTGATGCCAAAGCAGCAGCTGCTGGTAACTGTGTCTGGATCCTGTTTTTGTTCATGATATGGGCCTGGCTCGGACCTTGGCTCCTGAAGTGAACGCAACCTGTGTACAGTCTTCCTGGGATGGGAGAAGGAGGGAGTATATTGTGGCGGTTAACAGGATAATCCCTGGAGTCTGGCGACCTAGTTATGAATTTTAGCTCTACCACTTATTAGCAATGTGACTTGACTTCTCTGAGTCGCACATTCACTGTCTCTAAGCCAGCTGTAACGATACCCCCATGCAAAGCTCATCGAGAGGGTTCAGTGAGAAGTGTATGGAAAGTGGCCAGCCCAGTGCTGGACAACCAGTTGGTGCTTAATGAACTGCAGTTAGCACATCTCCTGATGTTACTTATTACTGTTCAAGAAGACTGACAGATAAGTAGAACCTGGCTCCCTGAGAAGCAGGCCTTCTCCATCAGGGCTGTTCTGCGCCTAGTACACGATACACCACGTACCCACTGTGCAGTCCACAGGATCCTTACCTAGTTCTGTGCGTTCGTGTGCTGACCACGACGTACCAGAAAACCTACAAATGAAGACATTTTCATCTCAATTAAAGAACAGAAAGGGTGCTGAAATCTGGAGTTGCTGGCGAGAAGCCTAAACCAGGGAAATTCTAAAGTACAGCCCTGTGGAGCTGGCATTTCCTAACTCTCCTAAATGTAAATGCTTACATCAAACTGGCTACAGAGTTGGGCCAAAGAGTTGTTCAAAAATTGGTTGTCCAATGACAGAAAAACAGAAACTATTGATGAAATGTTTTTTTCTATAGCAGCTTGTGTGTAAAGCTAAGGATGAAGGGAGCCTAGAACGGTCTGGACCAGCACTGCCTGATAGGAATAGAGTGTGAGCCACGTAAGTAATTTGAAATGTTTAGTAGCCACATTACCAAGTAAAAAGAAATGGGTAAAATTAATTCTTAATATATTTTACTTATTAGCTCAACATATTAAAATATGATTTTAACATATAACCAATATAAATATTATTAATGAGATACTTTGTAGTCCTTTTTTTTTTAACTAAGTCTTATAAATTTTGTGTCTATTTTTTTTTTCTGACGGCATGTCTCACTTTGGACTCCCACATTTCAAGGATTCAAGAGCCACCTGTGACCTGTGGCTACCATTCAGCACAGCACTGGTTTGGATTTTAAGATACGGTCCCACACGTTTGCATCAGTTTCCTCCCCATCAGAGGCATCAGCTCTAACCTGTAGCCATGTTAATGGTCCAGCCTCTGTGTCCACAGACTTGACTGAGCTCTAAAAGTGTTTGTCAACTACAGCCAGTAGTGGGAGATGTTTATATTCAACTCTTTCCCCTTCTGAAGGCTCCCTGTCAAATGCCTCACCTTCCAATTATTGGCTTTAGGGGTGAGGTACTTGCTGAACCTTTTTTTTTCAGAACAATTCTTTTTCAGGCGCTACCAGTACTGACCACTGGATTAAGTTTCCCTCCACTGAATAAATCTTTTTTTTTTTTCAATTAGACCAACCAGCTGTTCGGAGTTATATGGGTACTCAGTGCTACTTTTCTTTGGTTCAGGAGTTCTGGTGGTAAACCCCCAGGAAAACATTCAGTGGAAAATAATTTTCATTTCTGAGGACTAATCTGTTAAGGAGATGATTAACTATAATACTGCTCTTTGGGGATTAAAAATAACTTTTTTAAATGAACACTTGAGCTCCCAAAATATTTTATTTATTGGTAATGATGCCCTAAAACTTTCTTCAGCTGATTTTTTTTAAATAAGTTTAGAGGAGAGTCAATTGACTGATAATCTATTACTTAGGGATCTTTATGGTATTTGCAAGCTGTAATATGGAAATGGTACCCTCAGGAAATCACAGTCTACTGCTAATATCCCAAAATAGTCTAAGGCAGTACTGACCAACAGAACTTTCTGTGAGGACAGAATTGTTCTGTTTGGTCTAACATGGTAACAACTAGCCATCTGTAACCACTGAGCCTTGAAATGTGGCTAGTGCAAACTGAGGAACTACATTTTTAATTTAATTTAATTTAATTTTATATTTTAAATCACTACATGTGGCTAGTGCCCACTGTATGGAACAGTGCAAGTCTAGGGAAACTGAAATCTCATTTGTGAACTTGATTCAAGACATGAGTATGAAACGCCATGGACCCTGGATGCCATCACCTTGGAGAAAGCTTACTCTTCAACCTTCCCTGTGCGGGCGACAAATCGGTCTCACGAATTTCCTTTTGGTTTCTGTCACCGGGACAGAACATGCTGGGACCAGGTCACCAGTTCTCCATGGCATATGGATTACTTTCTGGGTTGGCCCAAGATCTCAGGGGACTGAGGAAGGCTCAGGAAGGCAATACAGGTAATCTCAGGTCATTTATACCCACTCCAGGTCACCCAGCTCAACAAAAGCCCCATCCTACCTGGATCTCCTTCTGGGCTATGGGTCATAGAAATTATAAGCATGGCAGTAAGAGGTCTTTTGCAAAATCTGGCTTGAAGACCAGAAGTATAACTATCTATTGAAGTGGACCACAGACAGGGGGCTGGGGAACAGTCCCAGGTACACCTGGCTGTGTTCCAACTCCTGTAAAGCTCTCTAGGGCTCGAGGATTCATTCTGCCTTAAGATAATTCAGAATCTTGGGGAACCTGACACACTCAGCAACCCCAGACGACAAGTAAAATGAAAAAGGTTTTGTTTCTTTCGAAATGTCTAAAATTTCAAACTTTGTTTTCATCTTCACACTAATCATCTCCTGGCCTTTGAAAAAACAATTCAGGTCTGCAAACTTTTTCTTTTTAAAGAAAATACGCGATGGGGTGAGGAGGCTACTGCTCAGTGGTAGAGTGCTTCCTGAGCATGCACAGGGTCATTGGTTCAATCCCCAGTACCTCCATTAAATAAACAAACGAACAAACAAACAAACAAACCTATTACCCCCACCTCCCCCACATAAAAAGAAAGAAAGAAAAAAGAAAGCTTTAAAAACAAGAAAGAAAGTATACATACATTTAAAAAACAGCACAGCAGCTGCAACTGCTGGCAGTATTGCAAAAAGCATGTATCTGTGCCTTGTATTATCTGGAAAAAAAAAAGAAAGAAGAAATATAATTAGCTGAATGGACCAAAACTGCAATACAGTTGATCCTTCTTATTTGCAGATTCCGTATTTGCAGATTACCAATTTACTAACATTTCTTTGTTATTCCCCTAACCAGTACACCCAGCCCTTTCACAGTCATGTGTGTAAGGGGCAACAGAATGGTGGAAACCGCGGTGCACGATACACACGTTCCAGATGCTGGAGTCCCCAGGACTCAGTCCCAGTACACCTCTCTCCGACAACTGCTCTCTCCAAGTGATCGCGTCTAGTCCCAAGGCTTTATTTAAATGCCTCCTCTACTCTGATTATGCCCAAATTTATATCTCCAGCCCTGACCGTTCACTAGAAACCTAGACTCACCAGTCAAAGTGCCTTATTTGATGTCTCCATTTGGATCTAATAGGAAACTCAAACATGTCCCATATTTGTGTATTTCCTCTACACACCTGCTGTTCCCCTGCTTTCCAGCCTCAACAAACAGTAACACGATTCATTCTGTTGCTTGGGCCAGCAGTCTAGGAGTCATTTGATGTTTCTTAGTAGGCACCCTTTTTCCCGACTCAAACCACCAGAAAATCCTCTTGGTTCTATTTTCAAAATGTATCTTAACCCGAACCACTTCTCCCAGCTCTGCTGCTATCACCCTAGTCCCAGACACCATGCTCTCTTGCTTAGACTAAGAGTTTCCAAATTAGGTGCACACACACCAGGGAGAACATAAGGTGACCAATTAGGTGCAAAAAAACCTCCTCTGTTTATATTTACTGTTTATGTCATTC